TATATATATATATATATTACACTTTAAAATATAGTCCATTACTAAAAATCTGTTACCTTGCCAATATCTTCCTATCTAATATCTTTAAAATCGAATAAAAAAATGAACATATTTCAATATTTCAAATAAACACCGTTTCTTACTCATTTCTCCATTTTCCATTTTTGCTTATTCTTTCTTATAACTTCCGTGAAAAAAACGAGATTAGAAATATTTAACAAATTTTAACAATGTAGGTAACTCGTTATTAATTAATAAGTATAACGTAAATATTTCCACTATAGTCTCTACTATAATTTAAAATTATTTGTATGCTCTCTAAATTCTTTGAAGCGAAATTCTACAGAATGAAAATTAAAGCCATCTTAAGTAAAATAATTCAATTTTTAATCTTTAAGGACAAAATTATACTCTTTAGAATAAAATCTGAAAATTTTAGAAAATATGAAAAACAATTTTATCATAAATAAATACATACTTGCAATAATTTAATACTTAATCCTATGGTTACTATGATCATTTGCGCGCCGAAAAGTATAGTGAAAGATTTCGATATGTTCCACAAATCTATGATAAACGGAAAATAAAATAATCGTAAAAGGAATCTTCGTAAAAATAGTTTTTACGAACATTTTATCTTTAAATTTAAGATATTTTTTTATATATGATATTATATACTTACTTTAAAACATCTTGTTTGTTTACAAAGAATGCAATTTTTTCGCGATAAATATCATTAGAATTGTTTGCAATTTTCATTGTTTTGTCATCTTTATTAAATAGATTTTCGAAATAGAATCTATAAACAATTTGAACAACTCCTTTCTTTCTCTCCCACTCTTTTTCTCTTTTTATGTTTTGCTGACATTCCGGATAAATTGTAAAAATATTTTGATACTAGATTGGTGCAAAAGAATTGAATTATATTTGTCAAATAAAGTCGAAAGTAAAATATTAGTAAAAATTGTTGCAGATTTTATCATACTTTTTCCTTTATCTGAAGACAAATTTTTCAATTCCTTTTTTCAAAAAATTTTAATTTTATTATTTTAT